GTGAATTGAAGCAGCCGGGAGCAAAAGCTAGCCTGCTATTGGCTATTTCAAATTGCAATAGCAGGCTGGCTCTCTCAAATCCGCTCCTCTGCTTAGTGGGCAGGAACAATAGCCTGCCTGCTATTGGCTACTGCAATAGCCAATAGCAGGCTGGCTATTTCTCCCCATTGTTTAAATTCTGCTGATGACCGCAGAATATAGCCGCAATTCGGCAGCAAAGAATTTCATTAGCGACTAGATAAAAAAAGTGAATTTATAGTGGGTTTGTACAAATATTCTATTCTTTATGGTTAGGTTGCAACAATGTTTAAAAGTGTTTTTCTTTTTTAACAGGTCAGGTAGATATAAAATATTGTATATTAATTGTACCCTGCATGGTAAAAAAAATCTATATTAAACATTTCTTACATACCAATGTGTGTCAGGAAATAGTGTCATGTTTTTTTTTACTTTGGCAAAGTGTTTTTTAACTAACTGCTACATTCTGTATACAATGTTTCTATTTACTGTGTAGTACAAAAACCTACATCTATCATTCTGGGCTGTACAATATATCAGGAACAGAGAAAAAAAAGGAGGTGAAATAGCTGCTCATTCAAGCAACATTTGCAAGAGTTTAGCTATTGAGGACCACTGAATATGGCAACAAGCATACCCAAGGTTAAGCAAAATCATTTTTTTAACCACGTAACATGGAGATACAATCTACTGAGTTGCAGGTAATATCACAGTACAAACATAAAGATCATTATATGTAAAATAATAAATATTTTCAAGGTTCTTGCCAAAGTTGGAGTTTTCTACTTATTTTGTACTGAAGATATTCAGTAGGTATTGGTAGTATTACCTAAGGATTCTGATCTATTTGGAAAGTTATGTTATCTTAGTGAACAAAGTTAATGTTGTAAGACAAGATCAATAACTCATGCTGTGGAAATAGTAGATTAGGCACAGACGTACTGCAACCATTACGTTTGGGTCAGTTGATTGCTCACAACTTTTAAATTGGCTCTACCGAGGCCCATCATTTTGTTTTTCTGTGGTTTTGAGTTCTTTTTTTTTATTAAATAACCATAGTACCATCTGAAAAACAATTTTATCTAGCACTGACCCAAAGTACAGCTGAGTGGATTCTCATATACATAGAGCTTTGGCGTTTTATGTTATTATTTAAGTCATCCCTCATGAATGTTATGTTATTATTTAACTCATCCCTCATGAACTATTACAATAAAATAATATGGCCAAAGGTTTCAAAAAAAGCTTATTAAGACTGAATAAAAAAGCATTGAGACAGC